TAATTCCATATTGGTTTGTTTATTAGATATATCACACAGTGAAACAGTATTATTTACTGGATTACGTTTCGAACAAATTTTTGGTTCATTGTCATATCAATTATAATCATACAACTTCGAAACTTGAGTTTTATAGTTTTCTTTGTTCTCTCCTGTTTGTCGTCGTTGAGGTAGTAGAATTTTCCAGATATCCGGAACAGGTGTTGAATCATTCCTATTACATGTATTTGTAGTTGATTCGATAAACAAAGCTTCTGTTATCAATCTCTGCCTCCACCCTGTTAGATTAGATTTTAAAACAGTCATTTTATCCCATCCTATTGTATGGCTGTGCGTCTGATTTGTCTAATATAACTGTTACATTTCCTTTGTACGACTTCGTGATTACGTGGTGCGAATCCCAATATTTTGACGTTTCTTCGAATTATTCCTGATGTATCATTTTGTTTGATATTGTAGTCGTTTTTTGCCTTCCTCCTTCTTGTCATTCTCTCGTTTTACTCTCTACTTTCCCTTTTTTATATTATCTCTGATAAATTCTTCTGGGTAGTTGTTGCTAAGGGACATTTTGAGTGAAACGTTTATTTCTTTTCGCTGATCACTTGGTGTTGTTGTAAGTCTACGCATTTTATCTGCAAGACATTGTACCGTCAGTGGATAAGCTGAGTGATAATCAAGAAATCTACCAGAATGTGTAGTTTCTGTATATAGCGTGCTTTCTGCTATGATATCTGTTACTGTTTGCACTTTGTAGTCTAACATAAGCAGTCCCCCAATTTCATTCTCTATTTCCATAGTTAATGTTATTGAGTCTACATGACTGTTTATGTGTGTCAGGAGAATTTCTCAACAACGTTCTTTTTCATTATTATTAACGTGTCGTCTACGTATCTCCACCAACAATTTATTGATAACCTGAATGGTTTAAGTGCATTCTCTTCCCAAATATCCATGAATATGTCAGCTATTATCAGTGAAATGGGCGATCCCATGGCTACTTCTTTATTTTGTTGGTACATTTTTTCCCTCAAATGTAAAATATGTTGTTGTCAGACAGTATTCAACCCCTTTTAACTATTACTACGTAAAATTGTGTCCTGTATTTTAGGCCATCATTTCTTTTAGTCTCGTTTTCAGTGTATTCATGGCCGTTTGAATGGGTATTTTAGTATAGAGACTTTATATTAAAGCTGACTAGTATTTCCCCTTACTCTGTCTTAGTGGTTTTTATTCGTCTCACAAGTTCAAATTAACCTACTATTGTATCTTTTAAGTTGTCACTTGTCGGTCTAAGTATTGTCAAAAGAAAGCTAGACAGCATATACGTTGGTGTGTTTCTAAAGTCTACAATCGGTCTTATTGGATATCCCTCTTTATTCAATTTTATCTTGCCATATATCCTAGGTATATTACATGATTTTGGCAATAATTTCAAATCATTTTGAGTTACAGATTGCCTCATCATCATCTGTTAAACTACCTTTTCAGTATCTTTCGTTGTTTTGTTTGTGATTGTTTCTGATGATTTCGTCAACTGTGTATAGGGTACAGATTGTAAATGTTCATTCACCTTTTCCGTATACCTTGTTTTTTAATTATTACTGTTGTATTTCCTTTGTCTGCTTGAGTACAGACAGTGGATTTGTTTGCTTTCATGTCTTGAAGTGCTTTTAATTTCTCCTTCGTTACATTTATTTTTTCTGCATTTCGTTTTTCACTTAAAATGGTTACTAAATGTGTATTACATAAATCTGTTAGAAAATTAAGACGTTCACGAATAATTTCAAGAAAATTTGTATCGAAACGTCATTTATTCTAAGGCGAAATAGAGACCTAAGAACTCAGCTGATTTATAAATGTAATGAAAATTAATCATGAATTGAAATGCTGTCTTATTCAGGTTACTGATATGAATACAGCACAAGATTCAAAAATGATTCATGAGTGAGTAAGTACACCACATGTATTGGAAAGAAAATAAAGAAGTATAGTAAATAGAATGAAATATGTTGACTTGGTGAAAAAGGAATATGCATTCAGGTCGAACAAGAGTAATGTTAAGTTGCTTAATTCTCAAAAAATTAATGTAGCGAAATATCAGTCAAAATACCAACCTTACTACTTACTAATAAAAAAATAATATGAAACCGAAAATAAAAATTTTGTAAATCTGCATGTGTACGAAATCAGTCGAAATTTAACTTTTATGTAAATTACATAGCGTATAAAGAGTATACTTAATTCCAACCTGAGTTTATCGAACTCTATTATTTTATTTTATTTATTTATTTTATTTTGGTTACAGCTTGATGCCACACCGTATTTTCAGTACAAGTATGACATTTTCAGCATGGATATCGGTAGCCCAAATTTTACAGGCCAACCATAGATATCGGGTGTGCGTCGGCAGGGGATCGAACCTCGGACCATGTGCATGGTCGGCGAGAGTCCTAACCACTGTGCCACCGACGCACATTACTGATTTATTTGACTGCAAAGTGTACTGATCACTAAAATTTTCACCCTGCGACATGTTTTTGTTTTAAAAACATATGCCTTTTTAATAAACCATAGAGTTAGGTTAATCTGTTAAGACGACTGCTTCAATGAACAGCTTAAGATTATTAGAGAAACAATTAGAAAAAATGGTTATCCAGATAAGTTCATTAAGAAAAATATGAATACAGTACCTAGGAGAGTCAGTATGGCAACAGTTCCGAAAAAACTAATGTTCATAAAACTGAGGTCCTCGGTGACAATATCAGCGAAATTGTTATAGCACCGGAAGAATGCAGTTAAAATAGCTTATAATGCAGGAGAGATATGTTGTCTCTTCTCCATTACCCCTATTCTACGTTCGAGAAATAAGGATAAACTACTTAAATTTGCCTCCTGTATGTATATCTACCAGTTTCACTGCAGGTGCGGAGCCAGCTACATCGAGTTTACAATTAAGCAAGTTCATCACCGTATTTCCGAACATGATTCGGCATGGTTAAGCAAAGGACAAACAAGATCTATTCGTAGCTCTATTTTAGCACACCTTGTAGATAGTGAGCATAAGGTTGACGTTAATACTGCATTTAAAGTTATTTATCGCATTCCTACTAACCTTAATTTTGCTTTACGAGTTCATCTACTGCATACAGCTGAAGCAATAGGAATCCACCTGAAGAAGCCAAACCTTTGTGTTCAGAAGAAATTTGTACAGCCACTTTCCTTACCTTGACCACCGTTACATGAATGTGTAAACCGGACTACTTCGCTCCCCTCCTCCTAAACCTTTAAAAATTATAACCTTAAAAATTAAAACCTTCCAAATTATTTTATTATTTTTCTGACTACTACGTCTTTAATTACATTTTATCTTTGTAAAATTATTTTATTCTTATGACCACTTCATCCTTAGTTACAAATTATCATTGTTCAAATCTTTTTATTTTCTTTAACAATCTGTCACGTAATCAACCTGAGCACACACTTATTCCTCATTTACTCTTCATTTTTCCAAAATGATGCAATATGCAATCCATGTGCTGTAACCATTTCTACCTTTTAATTGTGTGTGAATTTTCTTCGTTAATTATCACCCAATTGACATCTTGACACTGACTAGTTATTGTTAATAAACATATTCACCACCTGATTGCTAAACTGACGTGTATTGCAATAAAAATGCTATATATATTAGAGTAGAGCCAGAGATAAGGATCTAATTGAAAAGCGAATATTTCTTCGCTCAATCTTTCTGTTTTCTAAATGTCTAAATAGGGATTTTTTCTATATTAAACCACTAATGTATCACAAAAAAATGAGATCCCTGTCCACAATTTCCGTCTAGTATTCTGAAATCCAATTGAAATGGATTGTTTTTAGTCTTATTCTGAGGTGATGAAGATAACAAACTAGCCAACAACAATTTGATTCAATAAGTATCATCGAGGGAATTTGAAGGAGGTTAACTCTTTCAATTATCTAGCTGGGCAACATCGTTTTAGTTACAGGTGGAATGGATGAGGATGTCAAAATCAGGATTGGGAAGGCAGCACAGGTACTCATTACTCCGAAATCAGTTTGGAAATCTGCTTCAGTCAGCACAGAGAGCAATATTCGGCCATTCAACGTTAATCTCAAGTCAGTTCTTCTACATCGCTCAAAGACTTGATTCATTGCTAAAAGCATATCTTACAGGCTGCAGACTTTCATCAGCAGGTTAGATCGAAGGAGGGACTAGCAGCAAGGCACTCTAGAAAAAAACCAACCCAGAAACATGTTTGCCGCAAAAAATAGAGATGAATTGGACACATGTTGAGCAGCACCAGGCCATCGCTCTAGTAGAAACCGAATAGGAAACGACGAGTTCGGCGTTCGATTGTGAAACGGAGGATATTGTGTTAGGAGGTGCAGACGGCTTATGGACAATTGTGGGGCCAGCTAAAAAGGACTTCAGAGAACAGGTTATAATGACAGTACGCTGTTGAAGCTCTATATATCACTCGAAACCCAAGGGAATAATAGTAACAGGTTTTATTCATTGCAGTTAGTGATTTCGTCTGTTCTTGTGACTAGGAAGATATATAATACGCAGCCATCTCTAGACGTGTATTTTCCATCATTCCAGGTTAACTAATCAATTAAATTATAGCAGGCACATACAAGGTGGTGTACACTATGGAATGATTAAGTTTTAATCGGTAGAAAAGTATTTTGCAATCGAATATGACCTTGATGACGTCACTCACTTCATATGGATAGAATAAAGTTACAGCACAGAAAGCGCATTTACGTTCATTCAATGAATAATTAATCACTTTTATCTTGAAATTACGTCTTTGTGATTGAAAAAAAGAATTTTTTGCTATCGGAATTTTTTGTCTGAGCATCAAATGACTCGAAAGAAAACTCTAATAGTTTATTGCATGCAGATCACCGACAACAATTCTGATACCGTGTAATTTAAGAAATATTTGAAAAATGTATTTTAGAAGACAGATGCACATTATGCTCATATGTCATCTGAGAAGTAGAAGTGAATTAGACTGATAGATTTTAGTTGCACACACATCAATGATAGTGTGTCATTATTGCTTAAATTCACTGAAAAATTATGCAGTAACAAATCACATACACATATATATATATATGTGCAAATATATACGCGCATGTGTATTTACGTTGGATTTATTATTCTGATATATGGTTATATGAGAGATAAATTCTTTGCAAAATGTCTTCTCATCATTATTACATTATGGTGTGAGTTCGTGAGTTCCTTTGCGAAATGGAATGCTTTTTAGTTCAAATGAAAATTTAGCCTGACATTTGGAATGTTAGAATTACGCGTGATTCATGTGTCCGGTAACCATCTGAACTTGATTTCCACCTAGATTTCTATTTCATATCAATCATTATTATTCCCATTTGTTACTGATAACTTGGATTAATTAATTTTTTTCTTAATGTTACTTATATTCATCAATTCAATTCAGCTGAAAGATGAATTTATTTTACTTTACAGTTTATCATCAAAACATCGCTTCTCAATCTAATCAAGATGTAGTTAGCACATTTAGAGTTTATAAAAATGGAGTGATATGCTTGCTTATGCAATGCGCATTTAAAGTTATTTTGCCAACAAAGGTAAGTAATATTGTGCTTTTTCTATTCATTAGCATCATTATAACAAATGTTTTATGAAAATGAATGATAGAAAATTATATTTGAATAGTGTATCATTTACACAGACATATATATATATATGTTTTACATATGGCAAAACACCTTATTTAATGTTCATTTTTTCTACTAATAAAGGCGATGAAATTCACAGATATGTGTCTAGTTGACAAACTTATGAGAACAGTAGGAAAAAGGCATAAAGGCAATCCATAATAATAAATACGTTTATCTTAACTCTTCGGTAGAATTATCTGTTATAGTCAACTGGCTTTTGTTCAGTAATCTAAGTAGTTTATTTCAGTGGTATATGCAATTTATAACTAGGAAGACTGTTTAAATGGGTTAGTGTTATGGTTTAGTCTGTTTTCCGGAACCACTTACTAGTACCTTTTACTGACATTGGTGAGCATTTATTATGCATGCAAGCCCATAATTTCATTTATGCTGCTTTCATTCGTCTTGTACTGACGAGAACTATGAAGTGAATAACTGTGAAGTTGACACCATCATATGCATTTTTCTGTCCTCATTAAAGCATTGACAAATCATCTTTCATTCTTTGGAGGTAGGATGTTTGACTGGCTGTGCAGGTCATCCTAGCATCTATGCCTATAAATGCACTAAATGTTCCCTTAGTTTTAATACCACTATGCTACAAAATATACTCACCGACACCAAATATGTTACCAGTGTTCAGCTGACAGTAGTGTTGTTAAGTATTTCCTGTCCTAGTTAACTTTAGCTTCTGATACATTTCTGGTGTGGTTTCTAGAATGGCCTTTTACATGGCTTTAGCAAACATTAATAATTTTCAATCCTAGTACATTTTCCTTTTCAAATGAAAGCATCTAATCTATATCTAATTTGAATAAATAAGTTGTCACTGACTTTCCCCATTACTGTACACAGTGTATCAATTTATATATATTACTCACGTCATTTTTATTCCTTAGAACACCTGATTAAACTTCCTAGTGTTAACGACGATGCTAAGCAGAAAATACTAAATATGACGCATTTTACTGAATAGCATATCTCCTTCTTCGTTTCATAGTGTTTTCAGTATTTCACTCACAGGAAGTGACTTATCTAAAGAAGTATACAAACGAAACTAGAAACATCAAGACATATCCGACCAGGTTCTGAATAACCCAATGAAAACTGAAGGTTTGTCGGCTACAGTGAATAAGCATAATTGCGCAGACACAAGTAACGTCACAGAAAAACACTCATCAGTATTTTCATTTTCTGTTGGTTACTCAGCACTTGACATTTAAATAACACAATACTTCTTGCATCTCGTCAGTGCAAACAGGTTTCAAAAAGTGAAAAATGGAACATGAAGATGTCAGGTTTTTAGATTTCAGGAAATCATGCCAGATGGTCTTTAGAATTGCAGCATTTCATACATTTATCCCACTTAATGAATTTGAATAATGCAAGAACAACAGATTTTGCAGAATAAAACTGCACCATCTTTTATTTCGTTGGCTTCTTGTCAGATGCGTACAGGCCAGTCATTATTAAGTGTAGCTATAGAAAAAATGTTAACATACCTGCACAGAGTTCATTTTTAAACAAAAATCAATCAATACACTTGTACAGTAATAATACACATAATAATATTAAACACTATTCCGAACAATAATGATCATACACAATGGGAACTTTGGACATTACGTATTCAGATGAAAGTGAGGTGAAAATATCCAGTTACCGGGTCATAGAAAGACTGATAACTGCTTCTTTCTGGACTTTTAAATCAGGTTTCTGATGCTTGACGGAGATCGCTTCAGCAAACGTAAGGAGAATTGAGCTCTTTTGCTTATTGATAATTCTGAACGATCTTGCGACGTCCACCTCATAACCCGTTGTAAGGAGATGTCTGGCGATGGCGCTGTTTGAAGCATTTGTTCCCTCTAGACATAGGCTTTTTGGTACATGTTCAGAAAATCGTAGATATGCCCTTCTTTCTGTTCTTCCAATGTAACTGCTCCTGCAGATACATGTAGATTTGTATATACAGTTGGAGTTAACATGAGAAGGATATCTATCGATTTTTGAATGCACCAAAGAGCAAGCTGTTTGATAGTCGGGAACGAGCTTAACTGCAGGATAGGCTCTGCCTAGTGACGTCCTCGATCTTCTGTTGACAATTGCTGTAATATTTTCACCTTTATAATCAAGTCGAATGTAGATGGGCATACTGAATTAACAGAATCTCTGATCTCAAAATTGAGAACTGAAACTCGATCTTTCGATGGTGTTGTCAACAGTTTAAATATAGTATGCCGGATGAAATTCATCAATTTCATTCAAGAATTTCAAAAAACATGTGTAAATGTTTACAAAACTTTGTCGAAATCCCTGAAAAAGGAGAAATTGCGTGATGTTTTCCGAGAAAATCCTGAGGAGCTTATCTGTAATCTGTCGAGTCTGAAGTCAAACTGCACTGAAATAGAAGCGCGAAAGAACCGATGTCGCAGTTCAACTCGAAAATTTATTCATTCAGCTGGATGAACTTATTCCAGCTGATGATGACAAGAAGAGCTGGTGCAAATCTCGCAAATCAATACCTCATTTCTCCAAAGCCATATTACGAAATCCTCTCTGAAGAGCATCAAAGAGCATTGAAAGCTCTTAAAGGCTCAGGAGTGGTGTTGATGGACAAAGATGACTACATCGCAAATATGAAAACTGCGTGACACGTTGAGGTTTAAAGTTGACCACTGCTAGAGAGATGACTGACAACAATACTTTCAATGATTTGAAACCCCTAGGGTCCCGTTTGCCACACATGCATGTCCTTCCAAAGACACGTAAAACAAGTCCCCTTGAGACCTATACTTTCGATGATCAACTCACCCCAACATAAAGTTGCATGTTGGCTTGAGGAAAAGTTGAAACCTATTCATCAACGACCTGGCGTGCACACCATGAAAGAGTCATTTCACTTTGCTGAAAGCGTGAACCACATGGAGGTTTTAAATAAGTTCATGGTGTCATTTGATGCAGCCTCCTTGTTCACGATGATTCCAATCAATGAAACTATTGAGATCATTTGTCAGCATTCTGATTCTCTCCCACTTCCAGAGTCAGAATTTAAACACCTACTGCTAATGTGTACCATGGATGGCAACTCTTTTTACCGCCAAATAGATGGTGTAGCTATGGGCAGTCCACTTAGCCCTGTTTCAGTAGATATATTCATGTCCAACCTTGAAAGAACAAAGTTGAAGCATTCAGTTGACACAACTTCTTATTTTCGATATGTCAATGATACATTTGTAGTGTGCAACATGCTTCCCACCTACCAGAACAAAACATTGCATTTTCTTGATTCATGTGAATCATTCTTATTAATCTTCTGGACGTCACATATTAAAACTATTTTTCAAATCCATTGAAGTGAAATGAATATAAAGAAATTCCTTTCCTTGGACTAATGATTTCATATTCATTCATTACCTTTGCTACATAAATAGAGCTTCTTATGCGATAATTAAATTTCACGAAAAACCTACTGTGACAAGAAATCATAAAATCATTGAAATTTGTTTTAAAAATCATGCTTACGTAGTATGCTCCTTAATCAGACATGTTCTTGACACTCTCTTGATGACCAGAAATTTCCACAGAATCTACGGAATCAAATACAGCTTTCTTGCAAGTAAATATGACTATTGTTAGACACCAGTAAATATGTCCATGTTCCATAATGATTGATACGCCTTCGTTCATCCCTAAAACCTGCCTGATATTCAGGGTTTTTTTTCTCCGAAGCAGCTCTTCGTTTCCTCATGATTACTGAATCTAGAATTTCAGATATTGCGTTAATAAAGCTAGTCAACCCAATGATCATCACAGGGAGATCTATCCTCCTTTACGCAAAGTGAGACAATCATTCATATGCTGCAGTCTAGTCTAAACTCAGATTTTGGCACATTGCCTAATATTTTGGTCAACTTAATAGGTAGTTCCATATTAATATCCTCTGGAGTCACTACATCAGCTCCCACTACTTCGCCTTCTTTAAGATAAGAGACAGCTTTTGCAACCCTATTTACAGTTGAACAATAGATGTCTATACCCCACAGAAGTGGATGTTGACTACCACGTAAATTTAGTTTAGTAATTCAGTGTTAATACTCCTTAAATGTCCGGTGCAACGTTCTAATCTCCTATCTTAGGAGGTAATCAAATTGTTTTCCTTCTCGGAAATCCTTTTACTCTTCTTTGAGTTTATACAACTCGCTTCCTTATTGAGCCTAAACAGCTTTCTGGTATCACGTACAGTCGCCACCATTTCAATTCCTTTTGCTTTTGTAGTCCACCACTTTTCATGATCGCCGCAACGGATTTTAGTCATTTTGTATTTAGGTCGTTTCGTTTTCGCCCCTTAGGGGCCTGTTGGAACTAATCTTCTTGTGTCTGTCAGTCGAGATGAAGCTGAAGAAATTCACTTCCTCCTTAAGTGAAGACTTTATGTTATCATTAAGGTGGGGGCATATTGGCTTCGTAGTTGTATATTAACTCTTAGGAATAAACATGGACATAGCAACGTGTGATTAGAGTCCATGCATCCATGCCAGAAAGAACAGCAGTGTTCGATAAATGACAACTTATAAGTTTGTGACCTATTTGAGTCTATCGTTGATGTAATGACTGAATTCTTCGAGTTAGACGGTGTTTGTACTTGTGTTTGGAACAGATGATTATCTCAACCTGAGCGTAAAAGTTGGTAACCGCAGTCGCATCATCTGCATGGAATGATCTACTACTGGAGCAATGAAGTGGCGTTCAAAAATGATTGTACCCAGACGTTTCGCTCTAAGCGGCAAAATAGAAAGATTTTGATAGAGTCCATCCTTTAACTCGTTAAAATGCAGTTGGCTTTGGCTCAAGTGGACACATCGATGTGTATCACAATCCTTGCCCCCTCTTACGGATCCGTTCAGCCT